AATACGCACACATAGAGCATCTAGCTTGCCGCACTTTACGAAAACAGTCCTAGCTAGGGAAGTATATTTGTGCGTAAATTATGACAAGGACAACGGACGTAACATCTACCTCAACCGCTGGTGTGATCGGGACTGTGATTATATCCGAATTTGACCACGGTCAACGAATGCCACAACGCGTGCTAGTTAGTTTACCCTATGAGTCCGACTACACACCAATAATGCTTGCCGTGATAGATAAGTTACGCCTTCAAGTTACAGGTAGCTAGTCAGATGGACACTTCCCAAGCGGCCTGGACATTATAGGATAGGCTGTATGTGCAAAATTTGGGTTAATGATGGAGATGTGCGCAGAATAGGCATGCATCGCTATCTCCGATGGGTAAACCAAGCCAACACGACAGTGTTGGATCTGAAACGTAATTCCGCGTGTGTGTGGCACGGTACGTTCTTCAACTGTACCTCGTAAACGGGCCGCGTGGTAGATGCACTGGACCAACACGAGGACTAAATTAGGGCATTGCTTAGCGGTATTAGGAACGTGCACGCCTAAGAAAATGCCGATGGGAGGGCGTTTGTGGCACGTGTAGGTGCAAACTCAGGCACCAGCTACCCATGGCCTTTATTGCATTCCCACTGCATGGGATCTGAGGCATGCGTGGCAGCGGATCTGGCCGCCTGCGTCCGATCCCGCTTCTGGCCTTCCTTAGTCTGCTTTGACATCGGATTTGGACAAATGATGGGAGAGAATACGGCACATGCAATCTCAGTCTACCTTTATCAAAAACTAGTCAACGCGTAAGCTACCGCGCCTGCATGCCCAGATTGTAGAGCGCATTACGGACATCGTCGAAATCGACAGTCGAATTATCTTTGTTAATCTTACCCATTGGTGAGCCAGATTCTATTAAAACGACCTATCCATCAGGATATGCACAGCCAAATAGAAATAAATGGAAGGAAAATCAGAGACGAAAAAGCAGAAGCATACCCTCGATTTTGTCCTGTAGGTCACTAATGCACTTTTCCGCAAGGAGGTTCTCGGCACCGACCTTCTCGACAAATTTATGCAGCCATGCAACCAATTCATGCAGCGGAAATTCGTTAACCGAGGAAGCGGCGGGGGCGGTAGAGAGGACAGCAGCAGAGGGCTCCAAATGACGTCGGCTACGTTCGACGTGAAGAGTACGTGGTGAGTTACTTCCTACTGGTCTGCCGGACGCATCACCGCGGACTCCAGAGCTAAGATAAAGGCAGCGGAGAGACTTCAGACAATACGAGAGCAAAGTCTGACAAAAGAATGATGACGGTGACAAGTAAGATTCGTGCATATAAGTGGGTGACACAAATGAGGAAAAGAGGTGAAGTAAAAGCGAGTGAATGAGAAAAAAGCGACATTCTGCCGATCAGAAAAGAAACTAATAATCACGGAAGTGTGTTGGATGACAGGCTCTTTCTGCGATGCCGGTACACAAACGAAAAGTCTTGATCAGATAATCTCATAGAATGAAGCGAAACAGATTGAAAACAAACAGAACTTCGTAAAAGGTCCAACAGAAGCCTCCACTGACTAAAACACGGAATCAGTTTTTATAGTTAATGTATGCGTGAAAAAAGTGTGCAAAGAAGGGTTTGGTAGATGTATGGTTACCTAAAC